AACGCCATCAGATGCAGAGCCCTAGGGCTGAACTAACCCGACCACGTTCCGGCGCCTCCCCCATTCCCATGCGCCAGCCGCACCCCAACAGATCGGATAAGCGCGCGGCACCATCCGGCAAACTACTCAACTATAAGAACGCAGAATTCAGCTTGTGTTAGGAACAACTTGCATGCCTCCAAGCTGCGCTGCTCACCACACCAACAGTTGAAATTAAACGCGCTTGGTCTTGGTCACCACGAGCGAGCCAACCCGCTTGACCGGCTGCACCCCCCTAATGATGACGGACACCAAGCACCTCATAAGGTGCGATCGAAGGCGTCACGTTGAAATTGGGTTACCCGCGCATAAATAGCAGTAAAAGGACCGCACCGGCCGCCTCTGCTTGCAGACCAACCCCAAGCTAACGGAGGGCACAGCTAAATCGGTCTTTCGGCCATGTCAATCGCAGCCCGAACACGAAGGGCGGACGCAACAGGCCAAACTAGGAAAACAATATCGGCACAAATACGACGACCAACGGGATGCCAGGAAACACTCGCATTGACCACGCTCCGCCCCCATTGTCATAAAAGCCAGTTAAGCTGGATATCAAATCTCGATCCCAGAACGTTCTTTCGCTGTGCCACCAAACGCTGGCAACTATGAGATCACGTCCGAGCGCCAAATATGGAAAATTGCTGCCCTAGGGAAATATTGAAGGAAAGGAATAACCGAGGGCCGGTACGGGCGTAAAAAAAACAAGATAATTAAGAAAGATTAATTATATGTCGCGAAGGGAAAATAGGTCTTCCGACCAAAGAAATATTTACAGCGGCGAGAGTAAGTAAAACTTCTACTTCGCCAAAAGTTTATCCGTATATGAGAATAAGCGGCATGGACAGTATTTGATTGTGTGAGCCTTGTCGCCAGTCGAACCGCAAATTGGGCAACTCAGGCGGCTGAGAATAGGACAGACCACTCGACCAGTCAGAGGATCACGAACCTGGAGAGCAATTTGAGGGAGATTATTATCAGCAAGGGAGGAGAGGATAATAAAAAAGGGGCAGCCTGAATAATGGACTCCAGATGAAAGAATAAAATTACTACTTTAATCGAAGATACTTAGACCAAGATGCTGTGGTCTTTTGCATGGTCGCGATCGCCTTTCCCCGTATACAAGTTGTTTGACTCTGTTTTCCCAACTTGATCATGTAGCAGGAAGACTCGGATTAACGCATCTAGTCACGAGTCCATAGTGCTCATGATCATTTTCAAGACCGGACCGTGGACTCGATAGTTCCAGACGCATCGCCGGCATCGTCAGCTAGCAGTGCCATTATTAGCACCACAGTTAGCAAGAGACCAGGTGCGTTCCTCAAGGTTTTCCCATAAATATGGCAAGGTTGCGAAAACCAGGCCAAACAACTTTTATAATAACATTAGCCGATCACGGTTGACGGTACTGTTGAGCATTTGCCAGATTCCGGAGCTCCACTAATAATTGGTGATTGTACTTATATTGACCTAGCGTAAACGATCAGGATTATGCGCATTGAAGGTTCCATGACGATCTTCAGAGTTCGCCAGGCGGAAGCTGGCGTCGAGCATGCACCATGCTCCGTACTAAGGCAAATTGAACAAAATTAGGCTAGTGTAGATAGGAAACAACAACTCTTATTATCATTACACTCGGAATGTATAAAAAACGAGATGAACGCAGCCCTCGTTTGGAGCTCCCATGCAAAGGTGTGCGCAGGTAATAAGCGTATGGTCTCACTTTGTGAGTGACATAGAACTCGTAGGGCTCGCCGTTGTTCCTGCAGAAGGCGCAGAGTTCAACGCCCTCTTCAAGCTTGCGGCGGAATGTGGTATGCAGACGGGAGACCAGGTTGACGAGACTGTCGAAACGAGCCCTGCCATGGATACCGTTGAAAATCTCCGGTGAGCTTTCAGACGTAAACCTAAACGAAATAGCATGACTCAGCATGGAGACTGAAGCAACAATAAAGGGTGACTGACGAGGCGTCAGCGGATATGCATACAAAAACAAATTAAAGTTTATCTACGAGAGGGTTCGAGATGCAGCACAAGAGGGGAGTTCCTGTCGTATGTACATCAGGGCTGTGGAATCGGCCTGAAAATAGGCCCGAGGGCACTAGACCGAGATTCCTCAGCGGAGCTCTGCTGACGCGTGCCACCCTCCTTTCGTCCATATAAACCCTTTTCTTTAGTTGGTCCAACGTACCTTATGCATTCCGAGCTGACTCTCGACGGCTAACGGTCATGCCAAGTGGCTAAACTAATCCCCTTGAAGACTTGTGGGAGGGGAGGGAGGGCCGGCGGTTATGCGAGTA